TCTATTCACCAAATTAAACAGTATTTCGAACAAATTTTCAAACTGATAATTACGTTTTTTTTTAAATAATTTTATGCTAGTTATATCCTTAAATTATCATGTGAACGCTCGCCACTCCGCCAAACTTGAAAAAAAAACTTAAGCAGCGAAGCCAATATGCAAACTCTTAAATTCTGATTGGGTAAAAAACTTTATTTGTAACCAAGTGGGTAATCTCCTCCCTTAATTGATTTAAGGGAACATTTTACTTAGCTTCCTATGTTTTAATTGCTAAGAATTTGCATTTTTTTTATTGTTGCGCTTTGTGATTTTTGAAAATCATGGTTTCTTATTGCTAGTTTAAGATCTACACTTTGTAAGCCAACTTTTCTGAAAGACCTCTTTCATTTATTTGGAGTTTTTTTAGTTCTTTGAAAGTAGCGTGATAAGTTTTCTTATAAAATGTAAGTTTCAGATAAGTATTATAAATTTCAAATAAAATTTTAAAAATTGTAAACAAAATGACAGTTCTAATCTGGTAAAAATTATTTATTTTAAATTTTTTTTTAATTAGTGCAAAATACCAGCTTAAAAATTTGTTGGTTTTCTGATATTTTAATATGCTTTTTGAAACTTGCAATTGGTAATTAGGTCAGGGTAAAAGTAAAATGCTATGTGATCTGATTCTGTTTTTTTTTTCACTTTACATACCACGTAGACATGTTTCTTAAGGTTTCTTTTTGTATAACTTAATTAGTATCCTTTTTTGAATAATTTTATTAAATTTGGTAGACTAATAGGAGTTTCTTTAGTTTTCCCCCCTATGGTAGTTAGTTAAGAAAAACCACTGTTAAAAAAATTAGTCAATGGTTGAGCAGATGCGGATTTTGTACCTCTTTAAAAACTCCGCCACCATTTTTGCATAAACATCACTAAGAGCTGAGCAGTTTCTATGAGTCTGTGTCTTAGAAATCGTTCCAAATTGGTTGAAGGAAGCTTTTTTGCCATTATTTGTAGCTGATTATTTATAGTTGATTTGTTACTAGGAGCAAAATTTATCACTTTGTACTTCAAATGGCGTGTGGGCGGATGATTTTCAGAATTTTTTTTTTTAAATATTTCCTTTTTCCATGTTATTACTGCTCCATAGATGACCTTAAAAGGTACTCGGAACATTTAGGGCTTCGCCCTGATACAAGCAGTTTTGTTCAAATTAGTTTTCTAAAACTCGTTTTAGCTAAATTTAATCCGTTAAACTATTGCAAAAAAAACTTTTGGATAGCAAAGAAAGGTCAAATAAGTATATTTTGCCAAAGTTTAAAGCCAATTTTTTCTAAAGTTAACCGAAGTATGGTTTTTTTTTCTGGTCAAGAGACTGTGTCTTTGTATAGAAAAATTCACAAACTCTCTTGAATCAGCAAAAGGGTCAGACTTTTTATAGAAACTTAAAAAAAACGACAATGAAATGATTACTACCAATTTTTAAAAAAATTACCATGAAACAAGTAAAAAAACACATACTATTTTTTTGTTCCGACTTTTATACTTTTCTTCAGACAAATTACGACTTTTTATTTAGCTATTTTTTATGGAATTTTTTAATATCATTCGAAAGCTATCGTTTTCCTGAGCTTAAATTTGAGAAGATATTTCACCTGTGATCATTTTCTGTAAAATTATGAGGGTTTAAAGATTGCCATTTTGGCCAATTTGGGAGAGTTAACTCTCGATCTGATTCGCGCTATTAACGCGTAAGCGGAGATTTAAACCGTCTTAGAAATTGTTCCAATTTGGTTGAAGGAAGTTGTTTGCCATTATTGATTTGTTAATAGCAGCAAAATCTATCACTTTGTATTTAACATGACGTGTGGGGGATTCTTTTACAAAAATCTCAAATTTTTCTTTAAAAAAGTTTAAATTTATTTTATTACATTTAAATTTTTCATGTTATTACTGCTCCATAGACCTTAAAAAGCAGTCGGAACATTCAGGGCTTCGCTTTGAGACGAGCAGTCTTGTCTTCGATTTGCAAATGATTAATTCAAGCGAAGCTCAGCACATTTGTGTTAAGTTGCAAATCAAACCTTATTTGAAATTTTACCGTTAACTTACACATGAAAAACGATAAACTTTCTTCTAAATACGGTAATTGCGGGCTCGTGTTTCGATTTATATTTGACATTTTACTTCCTAGTAAAAGTATATTTTCTTGTTTCTTTTGAACCCAAATTGAAAATGAATCCCATTAATGCCCCGGAGTAATATAAAGCTAATTAGAACCCATCAAAGCGACTCAATAATGTTATTTAAGATTGTATCAATATCAAAATGAAAATATCTCATTTACCGAGGGCGGTCCGTCGTTTTATGATTCAAAAATTCAACACCAAAATAAGGCAAATTTCGGCGTCTTCAAATGTTACGAATTTCAAACATGCTTTAATATTTTCAAGCTTTGAATCTACAAAATAATCCTCAAATAACACAAAACTGGTATTAGGAAAAAATTAAAGACGTCTGGGATATAAAAAGGCAAGTGTAGCTCCGACGAAGTCTTATCTGAGTTAATCTTAGGAAAATCTTGACAAAATCCCAACCCACTGTTTGAGACTTTTCGGGGTTAAAAATGACAGTTTTAATTAGCGCGAAGTCTTTTTTTCCCATCATGCGAGATGTTTTTTTCCTATCGATATCCGGTCAATAATCTCAGATCTCTTTTTGCGCATATGAAAACAATTTCAAAAAAACTTATCCGGTACGTCTGATATTCCTTTTTTCTGCTAATACCGTGCTGATTTAAATTATTTGGACAAAATGAACAAAAATTGATTGGGTTAAGATTAAACAAAAAGTGAAGAGAACAAAAGTTGCTCAGAATTTTATCAGAATTCCTATGGTGTAATTTTTTCTCCAAAATTCTCAACAAAAACTTTTACCCCAAAAATGGGTCATTTTGGCTTTTTTCATTTAATCAACTACTTTGTTAATTGCTGGAACTACTTTGTTAATTGATGAGGAATATATATCACAAGAAGCCTCTTACACAGTCTAACAAAATTTTAGAAGAGTTAAGTATCCAAAAAAATGGATAGAAGAAATTATTTTTGCTTGATAGTCAAGAAAATGATTTTTACTGTTTAAAACCCAAAATCTTTGCTTGAAAACAAATTTTAAACAATTTACTCAAATTTTTAGAGAATTAGCCCTCCTAAAAATTTGTTGGGCTGTGTAAGAGGCTTTTTGTGATATATGTTCCTCATCAACTAACAAAGTAGTTTCAGCGTAATTTTTGATTAATTGAAAAAAGTCAAAATGACCCATTTTTGGGGTAAAGTTGTTGTCGAGAATTTCGGAGAAAAATTACCACATTTTAATTCTTATGAAATTCTAAGCAACTTTTGTTCTCATCACTTTTTGTCTTAGTTTAACCCAATTTGAGAACAACGAGATAAAAATTCAAGTTTCTTTAGTTTTGTCCGGATAATTTAAGCAGAACTGTACTTTTTCAATACTTTATTAAGTTCAAACTCTGCTAACTTATCAGATTTGAAAGGAGATTCCTATCAGTGAATAAGTAACAAGTTTGTCGGCGTAATGGCGTATACTTTTTTCGGATCTTTACTTTTTGTCAATTGATTTGTACTGATCTCTAAGCACAGTTTAAAATCTTGAGAATAAGTAGTTTTATAAAGATTTTAAAAAACCGCTGCTAGCATTAACAGGAAAATGCCAACTAATTTTCTTCGGTAATACTTAATGATTTTTTGCCATAGTTTTTGCTGCATTACTGGTTTTGTTTTGGTAAAAGTCTGGTACAATAACTAATTAACAATAGTCAATTAACAAATATCAAAATCAGTTGAAAATGAGAGACGCTAGGAGCAGCTAACTGCTACTATTATCAAAGAATAGCAGGTGGCACAAAAAAATTCGAACTATTAGCAAAAAGTAAATCTTGTTTTCCTAAAAAAAAATTTTGATGAAGTTAGAAAACATTCTATTGCCGAGGAAGCGCTGTGTGAAGTTTCTGAAACTAAATTTTTTGGAGTAAGATAGAAATCTCTTGAAAAGATTATTTGTCTATTATACCCGACCATTCTTTTATGTTCTTGATTTGATTTAGAGTTTTTTACATGCTATTTCAATTTGAAATGTAAACTAGAACAATAAATTTAAACTTGTTCAAAAAACGTCAGAACCAGTATTGTGTCAATCAACCCGATCTACATTAGACCCGAACGGCCAAGTTGAGGTAAAATACAGTTTTTTAAACGTAGGAAAAAAGTTTCTCAAACAAGAGTAATGGAACATGTAATTTTTTATTGTTCTTGGTATATATATTTAAAAATGAAAAATTTGTGATGGTGAGGGAACTGGCCATCTCGTCTAGTAGTCTGTCATTGACTTTTTCGTTCTCAACGCTGATTGAGTTTGCCAAGGTATTTTTCAGAATTCAAATCACGACTGAAAAAAGTTTATTTTGAGATCTCAGCTGGTTTTCAACGATTTTTGGTTCTTAAACTTTCATCCGATCTACGCTATAAAATTTATCCGCAAAACATCTAGCAGAAGCCGAAATTTGAGCCTCATATATACCCAGATTTTTCAAAAATGATTTTTTCTGTTATCCGGTCCAAAATTAGGAAAAGGTTGCTAAGAACGGTTTTTCTCGTGGTTTGATTAATTTGAACCAATCAAACTCGAACAAATTAGTCAAAATTTAAGATTATCAGAAACACCAGATTTGAGACATTTAACAGAAAAGACCCCTAAATTTCATCAATGAGAAAAACGCAAGAAAATGAAATGTTTCGAAAATAACAATGAAGTTTTTTTTTGTCAAAACAATGGCTTCGGAAATCATGCTCGACCAAAAAAAATTGCAGACAAAAACAAAACAACAGCTTGTGTTTTCATATCGATGAAAAGTATTTGCCCAAATGATAAACTTGAACCGTTTGTTATGATGTTTGATATTAACCGAAAAGTTTTTTTATGATGAATCATGACATTTCAAATACCTTTTTGAGTTTCTGTGGTCTGCTAAGTTGGTGTTACTTAGTATGCAATAGATCGGCGCCGACTGCGTAGAAACTGTAGTTGTCTGCAACTTCTTGTTCTTCGCCAATCCTTCCAGCGCTGACAATATCTGATCATCCGAAAATTTTGAGCCAAAATTTTGCTGACGTCCTTTGCAGGCTTGCAGGATATTTGTCTATATTATATGCACAGTTCAAGCAATAAGAAGATTTAAATAATGCCATGTTATTGACAAATTTTTTCATGGCTTGAATTTTATATTAAGGACATGATTCAAACTAAAATTTCACGAATCAAGTTTTCGGAACTACACTCTGTTTTTCTACAAGTTAGAAAAAAAATCGAGTTATAAAACTAAAATTTAAAAATCACAGATCTGTTTACCTGATCTGGCTGTCTGTTTTGATCTGTCATGTCGACGATTGAAGAGCAAATCAAATCTGTCAACATCTGGTGATTGTTGTGTGGGTGGTAATTGTCGTGTTGTTTGAACCCATTTAGAGTAGGCGAGCATCTTTCTAGCACCGAAATGTCGAAGCATCCAACTTCACCTAAAATTCATTTCTCGGTTGAAAGACCTTTGAGAGGGGGGGATAAAGACCCCCACCACTTAATTTTTTTGCTTCTAACTTTTCTTTCATGCATTTTTTATTCACGCGGTCTCAAAAATTACAAACACATTTTGTCCCCATATGGAACTTCGTAAAATCATTGGTTTTACTCTGTAAAATTGATGTTGTCATGCAGTTAAGAGTAGGGGTGGGGGGGGGGGCGTTTGAAGAACCACACATTGGAGTTTCACTACTAGATCTTTAGCCTTACCAATCTGGTCGATCTTGAAGTTCTTCGGGGGCCGAATGACTCCTCTAGTCCAGCAGTCTTTGAGCACCTGCAAAAATATCAGTATTTTTGCTATTTTATTCAAAAGGCAAACAAAAGCCGCCACAGACATCATGTATGGTCATGTTTTCATTAAATGTGTCATAAGATTAACAGATTTCCCATGAAAAAAGCCTACTTGTCATAAGATTTGATGCCGAAAGTTGGCTCTTCGAAAAGGCAATATAAACTCCCCGCCCCCACCCCCACCTTCCCCCAAAAAAATTAGAAAATTTCATACGTTTAATTTTCGTTAGGTTTTTTTTCAATGTTCATAAGAAATGGCGTGTGGCGCTTAACCGAATAACATTTACTCTTTATACTCATACAAAAGTTCGATAAATTCAATAATAATAACATAGAAGAGCCCAGATATTCTGGTGAGGGGAACGATAAAAGAACCCAAAAATCGACAGAAGCGCGAATAACCGAACAATGAGATCTGTAAGTGATAAATGCTACCGCGACAACTCGCAACTTTTAAGAAAAATGACAATTCGCAAAAATTGGAAAATTATTTTCAAGTCAAGAACTTCGGTTTAAGGTTGCAGCAGGTGGTAAGTGAGATTTGAGCTCATTGTTTTGAACTTTTAACTCGAACTTGACCTTGACCTTGAGAGAGTGAATGTCTCTTTTGCAGGTGATGAGTAGCACCAAAGAGAAGTGGGCGTGTATGAGGTGTCCCAGCAGTTGCATGTCTCCCAGGGCAGTCTGCAGATCCAGGCACCATCTGCACTTCCGATTCGAGGCCACAAATTCCTCAAATACTTCCTGAAACATCTTTATGCGGTTCTCTCTGTCCACTTACTTAAGCAAGGGCGGATCTCTAGGATCTTCTCGAGGGGGGGCTTAAAAAATCGAGGAATAAAAATTAGGTATTTTTTGGAAAATTTGGACCAAAAAGTAAACTTTTTGCATTCTCTCCCCCCCTCCCCTCAAAGTAAGTATATGTTGTTGCTAAAAGGCGCCTCTGAAAAGATTTATTGTCGATCAGCCGAAAATGGATGTTCTAAAATAGTATCATTTGGGTCGGCAGTGGAACGTATCCCTTAGGGGGCGGGGCGCCCTTTCTAAATCCGCCCCTTCACATAAGTATCAATTTTACCGTGTAAAGAGTGGTCTTAGAAGGTGAGAAATGCATACCAAATTAAATTGGAGAAGCCTTATTTTTCCCTAGGCCGTAATAACAGTCTAAAGAAGCCTATCTAAAGGGACACAGACGCTGAAATTTTTTGTTTTCAGCCGAGCCGATGAATAAATATTTTCACTACGTTTTTTTCCTTTTCTCTTTACCTACTACGATACAGGGTTAAAAAAGTTTGACATACGGTCGATAAAAGTATTGGAAGGGATTTAATTGAAAATCAGTTTTCCTCCGTAAAAATGAAAACAACAAAACAATTGAAAACGATACTAGGTGTGACGCCAAAAAACCAGCTGATTTGTTTTTTTTTTGAATATTACTGCGCTAGTGATCTGTGGTACCGCAACTGCTACTGCCATTGCAGTAACTATGCAGTCCTCATTTATTGGCCTTGATAGTGCTACTTACATCTGCCACTGCTATCGCAGTAATCAGATAGTCATCACATATTGACCTTGATAGTGCTATACATATTGTTATCTGTAAATTATATAATTCTATTATAAAAACCAAGGTCAAAGAATACGTGACCTTTTACAAATCCAAGAGAGTCAATCTCTCAGGCCTGTGGCTAAGAACACAGTCAGTAAGAAACTAACAACAGAAAAGAAACGGTTTCATTATGGTTAATTAAACTCTTCGAAACCACTTCAGTTTTCACTATACAACCTCAGAGGTATTGTTAGTTACCACATGGCGCAGTCAGCAGGATCGGGTTTCACTGCTCAGGATAATAGGACTGATCTAGGAATCCCAGTATTTTGGGCATCCGCAAATTCAGACCCACCTTGGAGTTTTGAAACGTGGCTTGACCAGTTCCTATTAGCTGTTACAGTTAAAGAGAATGTGGATCCAGAAATAATGTTACAAGAACCCAAACCGGTATTAGAAGAACCTTTACCAACTCCTGAAACACCAGTACAAAACGAGGATGAGATTGCGACAGCAGAAAGAGAAGCTCGGAACAGATTGGCTCGAGATAGAGTGGTTCAAGAAAATGAAGAACGGACACTAAGAGGACCTAGAGTGGGACACAATGTATTCTATCACGAAGTGGGCAAACGGCTAACATCGAGATTATTCCTCGCTTTAGGAGCAGAAGGGAAGAAAAAATTTATACAAAAGAACCCTCACACAGAAATATCCAAACTAGGGTTTCGCGATATAATTCGATTAGCAAAACTCTCATTTGAGAAAACGAAATGTATTACCTATGAGAGATACAAACTGTTCACACGATCCCACGAATCAAATGAAACGTTGGAATCTTTTCATGCCGCACTGACTGCACAAGCAGCAAAGGCTGAATTGGGAGCGTTGGAAGAAGAATTGGTACGAGATTTATTCATCTCAAGAATGAAAAATGCTGTCCTCCAAGACACATTGACTTTCGAAACATTCTCTCCAGAAGAAGTGTTAAAACGTGCACTAAAGTTTGAATATAGCAAACAAACAACTCAAGCATTCCAAAAATCTTCAAACACAAACAGCTCAGGACTGTTTACAACTCCACAGATGAAGATTAAACAAGAACCAATTATGGCAATCGGAAACAAAGGGTATAACCCTAGACGTCAAAATCAAAACAGAAGAAAACAGTACGAAAATAAACCTCCAAAAGGTAAAGGAGATCAAAAACAATGTACGAGATGCGGTAGAGCATTTGTAGAGAATCATTTAAAAAATTGTCCGGCAATGGGCAAAACATGTAAAAATTGTAACAAACCTAATCACTTCGCTAAAATGTGTAGGTCTCAACAAATTAACGAAATTGCAAATGAAGATTCGAGTTCGGGGGAAGAGTGCAATCTTATACAAACATTCGATTCATGTGATGATTTTGAAATCATGTCAGTAGAGGAAGAGTGCACTTCCATCATGGACATAGAAAATTACATCACAAAAAGGATTTCGGAAAATGCGTACAATAACGAAAGAAGTCAGAATAGAGCATTGACGGAGAAGTCGGGTAAAATTGAAAAGATCGAAATTCGCAGAAATCCCAAATCGCATCAAATTAAAGCACTTAAAGCTTTGGTTAAGATTGATAGTCATATTTTGAATATGACTATAGATACTGGCAGTCCAGTATCACTCCTGAATTGGGCAACAACGAAACAAATTCTGGAAGGACCTTCGAATTCAAAATTTATTCCGGCAGAAAAGCTGAACCTGTCCGCGCAGTTTGTGGATTATAATAAACGACCTATTCTAATATTAGGAGCGTTAAAGGCCAATCTACGTTCGGCAGGTTGGGAAGTGTTGGGAGCGATGTTACTGGTCACAGAGAGACGTATGCGGTGCATATTAGGTTTAGATCTTCAGAGTAAACTAGGAATTCAAACCACGCAAAAATCGGCTCCAATACGAAGGTCCAGGTTTGATGTGTTACTGTGCGAACAGTCAGATAGTTGGAAGATTTACTTTTATAAGAAGTTCAAAGATCTATTCGATAGACAAGGGGAATCAAAAAATCACATGGTGAGTACAAAATTTAAATATCCTCTGTGCCCTATTCAAGAGAAAGGTAGGAGAATTCCTATACACATTCAGGATAAAGTTCAAACAGAACTAGACAAGCTGCTCACAGAGGGACACATTGCGAAATTAGACAAATGCACAAGCGATTGTTTTATTGCCCCAATTGTTATCACAGTAAAAAAAGACGATTCTATTAAATTAGCCTTGGACGCCAAACCCATTAATAGACAGTTGTACAAAAATAAATACCAGATGCCTAATGTGGACGAACTGATTGATGGGGTTAGCCAGATCATCACATCAGCATCAGAAGGCTCTCTCTTTTTCACCGTGTTAGACCTGAAATATGCTTATAGCCAGATAAAACTAACTGCTGAAACAGCAAAACAATGCAATTTCAATATAATAGGGGGTAATGCAACGGGTACATACAGATTTCTGACAGGTTTCTACGGGTTGGCAGATATGCCAGCCGAATTCCAAAAAGCGATGGATAGAACACTAAACCACGCAAAGAATACCTTTTGTTTCTTGGATGATATTCTAATTGTTTCAAAGGGGGAAGCTAAAGAGCACGCGAAATTAGTACACAATGTGTTGCAAAAGTTGGACGACGAAAATCTCGCATTAAAAATTTCGAAATGCGAATTCTTGCAGCCCGCAGTGAACTGGTTAGGTCATAATTTGTCAATACAGGGTATAATTCCAAAAGTTACTAAAACGGAGGCAATTGCAAACCTTCAACCCCCCAAATCATTAAAGCAACTCAGATCGTTCATGGGTAGCATCAACCACTTAGCGAAATTTATCCCAAATGCGGCTAGTTTAACTGAAAAACTTAGACCACTACTGAAAGAAGAAAATGAAAAAAAGAAGATGAAAAATGTCCGGTTACCAGTTAAAAAATTTGAGTGGAACGATCAACACTCAGTAATCTTTGAGGACATAAAAAGGGCAGTTGCTAATATAGCCTTGTTAAACTATTACGATCCAGCAAAGCAATCTAGAGTAAAATGCGATGCAAGTCATAGTGGGCTCGGAGCTACTTTAGAACAATGGTCTCATCAGAGCGATTGGATACCGATCGCATTCGCTTCCCGGTATTTAAATGCTCAAGAAAAAAAATATTCTACCAATGAACTTGAGCTATTAGCAGTAGTTTGGGCGGTAGATTGTTTCAAACATTATCTACTAGGGAGAGAATTTGTCATAGCAACTGACCACAAGGCATTGACATCAGCTTTGGGAGAACATAGATCAAATAAAACGTATCAATCTCGTTTGACTAGGTGGGTTGACCGATTATTGCTCTTCCAATTTAAAATTACTCATATTCCCGGAAGGGATATGGGTATCGTTGACTACTTGTCAAGAGAACCTAATGGAGAACCGTGGCCAGAATCGGAACTGGATGAGAGATTCGTAGTAACGTCTATAGAAAGTTTCCATAAAGCACTCGACTGTTTAAACAGTCGGTCTAGTGAAACAAACCAAAGTAGCACTATGAACATTCCAGAACATTCTAGAACATCAAGAGAAATTAACTACTGTAAAGACAGCTCATCACGCGGTTGCTATGACAACCAGTTTGTTCAAAACCGGACAAAGCTCGACCGGAACGAAAACGGTCAAAACTCAAGTTTTCAAACAGTTGAGAAGCACAAAAACACATTGGACAGAATAGCTCGTGAGAAACAGTTGGTCGATATTTCAAAACTCAAAAATAAATTAAACTCCAAACAATTAGAACCCAAGGAAACGGCGTCATCGAACGAAATGGAAAGAAGTGAAACAGGAAAATCAAAGAAGATGAAAAATAAACAGAACGGAAATCAGAGGGAGGGTGATCAACTAACAGAACAAGTAACAGAAACCACCTTCTCTCGAACACGGATGGTAAAGAGAGGAGCTGCATGCAGTCGACAGGAGTCAGACGATTCTGATTCAGATATACCGCAAGTTGAGTGGAGACCAGTGAGAAAGACGATAAAGCCTAGAGGACTTAAAGAAATACAATCTGGAAAGGCGCCAGGAACTAGTGGAACAACCCTGATGTCATTTTGGGACCTCATAGGGGCAGAAAGACCAGACAATCCAACAAGTCTACTTGAATTAGAGGCACAGACAAGTCTACTTGAATTAGAGG